CAGGGAATTCTTTTTCCCCTTTCACTTTGTTTTTTTCTTTCTTTTTTTGGGAAAAAAAAAAAAAAAAAAAAAAAGAAGAAACAACAATAATTGAAAGTTTATAAAACACTAATTAGATCTTAAAAAAATAATTTGATCTGTTTTTCCACAAAGTTGTGGCCAGCATGTGGCTTCCTCATGCAAGTTTAATGAATTAACATTGATCCGTTAAGGCTAATTAGATTGATATCCTCTCCACTGAAGCCAGAGCAGGGAGCGGTTTATGTGGGCTCCTCGAAGAGCTCCAGCACTCTTGCGGGAAGAAACCAAACCACGGATTGTTAGAACGAAGGTTGTTATATATTGTCATGCAAAGTTTGACGGTTTGTAACACGCAACTCATTATCAAATGTTACGCTTTCGAGAAAATTCTGTCTTGGTGCAGAGAGTTAACATAATATGGCTCAATGTGAGCATATGAATCGTATTTGTTGAAGGTATCTGTTGGAGATTTTTTTTTTTTTTTACATCACATTGATTTTTTGGGATGCTGGAAGTTTAACTAATATCCAAAGTTTGGGGAAATTGTAATAAAAGGCAACATGATCATTCGTGACAGTTCTCAAAACCTACTTCACTAGAGTAAATAAATAAATAAAGCTAACACCCACACACACACAATATCAGCATCTAGATTCAATCTGCAATAAACTTTACTGTGAAATTACAATAGGTATTTCTGCAGTGGTCAGGCTTTAACAAATACAAATACAAATGTGAAAAACAAATACTGTGATGGTACAAAAAAAAAAAAGAAAAACAATAACTGGCCCATACTTGTACAGTGCTTTAGCTTGTCCAGAGGACTCCAAAGCACTTTACACTACATTCAGTCATTCACAAATACATTTTGGATGGGAGAGCCTATATATTCTGGGAATATTTCTTTTTTTCTTAAAAGGTTGTCCATGCTTTTCCAGACATGGAAGATCCTCTTACCACAACTTGCACAGGAACTCAGCACTTGAGTTAAAAAAAAGACACAGGATACAGTTTGTACTCCTCCAGTGAACACAAAGTCACCTAAACTGCATTCTGTTTTTGGCCACACTGCAGTGCTCTCAAATAGATGACAGGCAACATCTGTAGTACCTTGAGAAGCATCATTAGCTGCTCCAGCTGCACCATGAGCTCCCTGCGACTCTCCTGCAGAGTAGACATTCTTTGTTCGAGCTCATCTTTGCGTTGCCTAACAAAAGACACGAGTTGTGAGAAAACATGATGTTCGATCAATAGGAGTGAAAAGACGACATCTGCAGATGCCGACGCATCCTCTTAATTTACATTCTGTACATGGTTTCTTTAGCGTCCTCAGCAGAACTGTGCCTCTCTTGCAAGCGCTGGTTTGACTGAAAAAGTTACCTGAGAAGTCGCAGCTCAGCGAGCAGGGTGGGGTTCTGTTGGCCCCTGTCTGGTGGCGGCTGGGAAGCCTCCTCATGCTGAAGACGCAGCCTCTGGATTTCCTGCAGGATTTCTCTGCGCTCGGCACAAACGCAACGCTTTTTTATTTTCTGTTCTGAAGGAGCACAATGTGCATTTTGTCTCTGTGCTGAACACTTTTTAAAAGCTCTACAATGTGACTGAACAAGTGTGTTTTACTTTTCATCACTAGGGGGCAGCAGAAACATTTGGTAACAATGTAATCTTTTAGCTGTTTAGAGATATCCAAAAGCTGCACAGAGCTGCTTAACCATGTTCATATTCTACTTGATTTGGATCTGGATGCAGGGGAGGTTGATCAAGAAAGTTTTTTTTTTCTCCCCAGACGGAAGATTTAGTTATGTCTGTAAATATTTTAAACACAGACTAAAACAGCAACATTCCAGGTTTATGACTTGCAAACACCATCTAACATCGTCACAAAGATTGGCTAAGAATAAAGTGTTCCAGACAGCCTTGTTGGCCAAGTATTAGTCTCCTAAATATACAGCAGCAGAAAATGTTTCATTATTTATACCTGACCTTTTTCCCATATTCTCGTTTAAAAGCATCACACAGCTCATATACGTCATTCATTTGTAATGTGAAAACCCTGTACATATTGTAAGTGATTAGCTTAATATAGCATAAAAATCATTTCCATTGTTTTTCAAAGAGGATACATAATAATAATAATAAAAAAAACCCCACTCAACCTTTAAGTTAAAACAGCAATCTATGTTGATCTGCAGCAGCTGAAGCCATATGGACGTATAAATGTGACAATATCCTTCTGACAGAACGTTTTTTTTTTTAATTAGAAACAAAGAAACACAAAAAAATAATAATTTTGCTATAAAGATCATCTATGCAAAAAGCATAAGTGAATTCCATGGAAGTCGACATGAAAGGTTGAAATTGCTCAAATTTATTACAAACAATAACATTCTTCGATGAAAGAGAAGGAGATTATTATCTAAGGAGAAAAATAATTTAAGGGTACTGAAGGTACTGTATGTACCACAGGGAAATATATATATATATATATATATATATATATATACATATACATCATTCAAATGATGTTTTGTAAGTATACTGAACAATTTGATAAACACAGTCATTTCTAACCTGTTTTTGCTCTCCAACTCTGCAATGAGCTGCCTCTGTTGTTTGTTGGCATCCAGAGAGTAGGGGAGGTCTATGGGGACCCTCTGCTGTTGAACCTGCAGGTCAAATCAAGCAAGAGACGCCACAGGAGGCACCTTTTACACGGGTGATGTCATCTTTTGACTCGTGTCATATTTTAGACAAGACTGTAAAGCGTTAAGTCATCAGCAATACATCAAATCTACTCCGGTTTACTATAAAACGACCACCATGTCAGAAGAAAAGACTGAAAAACGGAGTAGCAGTGTACGTTAGCCCCTTTGAGTCATCAAGGCTATTTTTATTTTTTTTTTGCGCCAGACAACATTTAAACAAGCTCTAATATTTGCGTGCAATAAACATCATATGTACGGTATATCTCACCACAGCATCAGCAGCCAGTCTAGCAGCATAGCGAGCAATGAGACTGTGCTCCTCATCTTGATGGTTACTGCTTTCCAGTAAACTGCTCAAGAGGAAAATAGAGAATCACAACATGACACAATTAATACTGCGGAGCTCTGCGCAGAAAAACGTGCAGAAGAAACAGGGAGGAGGATTGCTTTGCTTTACAGAGTCTGATTAGCTTGTTAGGCCAGCTCCACACAGTCCACAAAATGATTTTAAGGCATTCAAAAGACATGAAAAAGTAAGCATTTGAAGTATTATTTGAAAGTGCAGATGAGAACAAAGATTGCTTTGTGTTAGAAATTCCCCAGAGCAGAAAATGTGGTTTAACATTCACACGCACACATAGAAATACTTACGTACTTGCAGAAGTATTAATAGTTTTACGCATCTTGTCACGTTACAACCACAAACTGTAAAATGTGTTTCATTATATGAGGTAGTCGCTCATAACTGTTGAATGACGGGAAGAAAATGATACATGCTCTTCAGCATTATTTTCCAAATACAAATCTGAGAAGTGTGGAGTGCATTTATACTCATTCCCTCTAATATATTACTTTGTAAAACCACCTCTTGCTGCAATAACAGTTATAAATCTTTTAGAGTACATCTTTGCAGTTCAGAAATATTGCTTTTCTCCTGTTGAAGAGAAGCATAATCGCAGTATGATCCTGCCACCAATATCTGCATGCTGTACTATAGAGTGATAAGTTTCATTATTAAAGAGAATTATGGATGTAGGAGAAAAAAGTAAATATTTCTCTAAGCAGCAATTTCCTTCCACATATTTGTGATACTCAAAAAGATTAAGTGGCAGATTTTAAATGTGATTTTTTTATAGTTTTCTTCCAGCAGCAGCTTTTGTTGCCCCTCTCCAACACAGGACGGGGGATTTGTAAATCTGGGCTAGCATTTGTCATGTCAACATATTCTTCCACCTAAGCTGTTTCTGCACTTCTTAACAGTTACCATGGGCCTCTTGAATGCTTCCTTGACTAATGTTCTGCTTGTGCAGCCTGCTGCTATAGCTAGAAGACAATGTCTTGGTAGCCTGCAGTTGTGCCACCTATCAAAACTCTACTTTATGTCTCCAAAACGTCAGTATGTTACATGCTGGGACATGTAACACATTTGGACTCCATACTTTCAGATTTTTATTTGAAAAATTAAAAATAAACAAATAAATAAATAAAAATTTGAAAATCATGGTTGCTTATCCTGTCACTTCACAGGTGTGCCCTACTTTCTGTTAATTTATCACAACAGCTTTGTGTTTTATTTGACTAAATGTGCTATGGATTCTTTGGAAGGCACTGTACAGGCGCTATATATAAAACACTATGACACAAATAGGGCATCATACCAGAGAGAATATTTACAGTGTTATAATAAAAAACAGCGTGCACATAACTATTATTTAACAAATGCTTCAGTGACATGACGTTTTCCAGCCCAAACTCAAACTCACCAAAATTATTTACATGCTTTCTTGATCAATTGTCTTTCTTAGGCAATTGAATATGTAGTTAATTTAATGCGTTTTTTTTTTTTTTTTTTCTTTTTCCCTTTTCACAAACTTAATTCGGCAACAACTAATAAACCAGAAAGTTTGTTTGGCTCACTGATGACAGATAACAGAGATTTCAAACTGCTTGACATCATGCGTTGTTAGGAGTGTGACACGCTCAGAAGCACTTCAGGTTAAAAGCAAAGGCCGTGAGGTGAGAGGTCAGCAGAACAACACTTTGCCCACCGACTAACCATGATCTGGGGCTGTTTTGGAGCAGATTCACATAGAGGCCAATGAGAACATGCTCGTCAGCAAGTCTATCGGCAACGTCGAGGTTGTGCTTTAACCTAGAACAGTGCAGGGTTTCACAAAACATAAAACATTATGTTACACAGGTGACAACAATAGGGTGAGTGTGGGGAGGGGTGCAGAGTGGGGGGCTGGAGGAAACTTAGGCAGAAAAGCACACAACAAAGGAGGGGAGGAGAGTGGCTGAAAAACAACTATTCATGGATGACTAGAGATAAACAAGGCCATATTATATTTGGGAGAGCCACTCCTAATGGAGGCTAGGAGCACAATTAAAGACATGCCGGGTAACAGCAACAAAAAAAACGTCTAAAAGCTGAACTGCTACAGCCTCCTGACTTCCAGGAAAAAAAATATTGTCCAATCACCATTTTTTTTTAAATCCCACATTCTTTGTAAGGCAATAAAAGGTTTTATGCACTTACTTTGTCTCTTCCCATAAAACGTGTTATTACTGATGAATGCAATTTTTATGAATTAGAAAAAGATACGTACAAAAGTCCCACCCCTTCACATGTGGTATCATTGAAAAGCCCTAAATGTCCTCTCCAGATACCAAAAGGAATTAATTCAGTAGAATGCAGGGGGTGAGAGATATTCAAGTTTAGAAATGTCCTCTACAGAGGACAAAAATGAACTAATGGTAGTCAGGAGGATAGTCAAAAAAAAAAAAAAATAGACAATATATTGGTGAAATATGTCAAACATGCAGCCTTTTGATTTAGCTACTGAAGCTAACTGATTTTTTTTTTAACAACTGCTTTATGAGCTACTACATGCAAGCTCCATTAGGTTGTCATTAGGAAGTTAGTCTTTTCAGATAACTATTGTTTTTAGTAAATATTTTCCTAAGCTCTTTTTCTATATTATTACTGTACAGTGATTAGAAATACATAATACAGGAGGTATTTGAAGCAAAAACCTGACTCTCTCCTCTAACCACCACGAAAAATCTCCTTGTTGGAAACTTTTACATTGGCCAAACAGCAGCTAATGTAACATCAGTAGAATCACACACACATGTCATGATGATCCCTAACTCTTAATGACTGCAAAAGTACTGTAGCTCAAAGTATCTCTTATGTAGATGATTTTATTTCAACAGCCAACATTAGAAATTCAAGAAAGTTTGTAAAATGCTCACATATGCATACATAGATAGGTACACTATGACCAACGCTTGGGGTAAAGGTCTTCAACATTACATTAGACTGAGCTAAAATAATATTTTCCCCTGATGATTTTTAGATTGTTAAACCACATAATGACCCTAAAGCCATGAAGTCACTGAGTTTTGGAAATGAATGCCTTCTGGTCTGTTCCAGCTTATAATATATCAGTGTGTGTGTCAGACCTTAACATCAGCTCCCAGACAGCAGTCTTTATCTAGAACAGCTTGAAACAGTCTCTTTAACAAAAACAAAAACCCAAGGATATATAAAAACAAGGTTCTATAACCTTTTCTTGTTAAGAAAATGTTGAACACTTTCCTCAATTGTACGACCCTAATGCTGATTCAGAAGAAAGGCAAACATGAGTCCAGACAGAACAAACCAGATACATCAAGCCAGGGTCGCAACTACATATTATTCAGGTGGATGTGAACACATAAATCGAGAGCAGCTGGTGGAGCTGAGGCTGACAATCTTTATTGTCAACCTTTATTCAGCTGACAATACTCTAAATCACGGGTCTTCAAATTCAGATCTCCAGGGCCTGTGTCCTGCAACTTTTAGATGCGTCTCTGTGTCAACACACCAGAGTCAAATAATGAGATCATTAACAGACTCTGGAGATAATTCAGCCATTTGACTCAGATGTGTTAGCCCAGGGACACATTTAAAAGTTGCAGAACACCAACACTTGAGACCTGGAGTTGAGAACCCCTACTCTAATTGTTCATCGTCAGGTCCCTTCAGAATTTCCTGTTAAGTAAATTAAGACATGTTTGTCTGTCTACGTTATATCGTCTGCATTAGGTATATAAAAAAACACTTGTCTTATTGGTTGTGTAATGTGATGTGGCTAAATGTTTCCCAAAGTCTGCATCTGGCTGCTTAATCAGCTTCTGATGTGTCCTGAAAGCCGTTATCTCCAGTAGGCATGTGTGCTGACTCAGACAAAGAACAGAAACATACAGAGAGAAAGGCAAAACCTGGAAGGAAAGCTTGGGCTTAACCTGAAAGGATTCAGTTCTATCCCATTGATCATTTGCTTCTGAATCAAATGAAAGGAAGCTCCAAGACATCCAAAAAGCATGGGCCACCGACTCCTTCAACAAGCCACCGCAGACAGAACAGCCGTTCTGAGCAGAAAAGCCGATTTCTGTCCAGCGAAGAGGAAGATGGAGATTGAAACAAATAACGTCTTCTGAGCCAATATTTGAACCTAACTTTTCTTATTCCGTGTATACAATATTATACAATACTTTCCCTTCACATTTGGAAAACTCTTCCATTACAGTAGTATTTGTGGCTTTGCTTTTCTTTCTTTCTTTTTTTTTTTTATTTTAAATCACTGATGAAAATGAGTGTTGGTATAATCAATTACGTTTAATGAATGAAGGCTTGTGTTATATTGAATGATGCGGTGCTGCCGCTTGTCCTAGTTGTTGCTGCACCCTATTGGTCAGCTGGCCAAAAGTAGGACATTTTTCCTTGTAATAATAAAAACGACCATCAGGTAGTCAGGAATTATTTATAGTTGGGGAAAACAGATAATCACGCATTTTAAGATCACTCAGTTTTAAAATTACAGTTGGCAAGCTGGTTGTCCTGCTGTTATAAACCTGAAGAAGTTAAGTAATTTATTAATTAGATACTTTAAACTTTTGCGCATTGTGAAATTATGTGATTTGGAAACCCTAATATTGCTTTGTTCTTTCACTTAATCGTCTGTTATTGTTTATCTTTAACTGGACCTAAACAAAATTGCAAATCAGTTTTACTTTAAGATAAAAAATAAAAATAAAAACTAGTCTTCATCTACAGAATGCCTTTAGTGGATGTTGAACATGTAATAGTAACATCATGTCTCAATATCCACAACATGTCACTCCTGTTAAGAGTTGAAACTCTGCCAAAGTACCAGAATTCCCTCACTGGGGAGTCACTGAACTCACTTCCTTTGGCTCAGTGTTAAGAAGCAAAGGCTTAAATTATAAGCAGCATTGTTAAAAGTCCTAGCTGGTTACTCGCTTTTACAAAATCAAGCAAATGCGCCAACTATCCTAATTTTTAAAATATTATTCATATTATTTGTCTTTCGTAAAGGTGTCTATAAGTTTGACTATTCTTCTTCTTCTCTCACACACAACAGGTGCAGTATCTTGGCGTTAACTATCAAAATGTCTGCACATTATAATCTATGCAGTCAAATGTTCTGCTCTGCTAATAGCCCAAGCAAAACAACACTTTACTCAACACTTTATCTTTGTGTTTTTTAGGGGTGAGCTATGGAAGGTAAAATAATCCCAGTCTTTTACATGCAGTTGCAGAGGAGCTCAAACGGTTTATAATTTAAAAATAAACTGTATTTTTTTTTTTTTTTTTAATCTTTCAAAGCAACTGACAATGCAATTTGCAACGTCAACATATTAAGAGATAGTACTTAGTATTTCTTATTCCTGTGTGAATGTGCAGGGGGCTGATGGAAAATGATTTTCACGAAACACCCTCTTGAGAACAATTGAGTAAACCCCTCTGTGTTAAATGAACTGACACCATTTTGCTGACAGAGACGCTTTAGACTATGTCCTACATTTATGCTCTACATTAGTTTGCACATGCATCTGCAGCAGTAAGGCCTACGTCACTTACCCTTTCCCTTTTAACAGCTGAGCAACCCCAAACCGAGACTTTTTTTGGCCAGCATCATTATTCTGGCTGTAAGGCAAGCCATTTACATTCAGCTTTAGGACCCACAACAAATGGAAATACACAAGTGTTTGCACACACAAACACACACAGTGTGGCAAATAAAGGAATGGACACAAAAGATTGTGTGGGTCACAGGGCCTTTAGGGAATGGGGCACACTGAAAAGATCTGTTGTAAAATCCAGGACAACCATTGTTGGCAGGATCATACTCACTTTTTGGTGGAGTAAGGGTTCCCTGATGTAGGCATGGAGTGGGACAGCGAGTAGTCGTTGGTTATATTTACTGGTCTTGGTGGCCTGCGTGAGAAATTAAAGTTATTTCTAATCCAGTCACAAGAAAGCAAACAGCAAACGATTGTTGGATCTTTAAAAGAATCCCGTTTTAAGTCTTGTAGATTTCCTTTTGACTATGTTTCTCTGATTTCCATTTCTATGCATGTACTGCGATATGACAACAAATATGGTTAGTTATGTGTCATGCATGAAAGACATCAGGTGGCACAAGGTTGCGACTGTGAATGTCAGTAAATGATCTGACAGATAATGAGTGTGACGGGACAAAGTGAAAATGGAATTAACACAAACTCACCACGTGTCTCTAGTGTGAAGGAAGTAAAGAACAGAGAGAAGAACAATTTATTACAATCTGACCAGGTCAACAAAACAAGATTGAAGTTTTTGTCGTGGTTCAATACAGAAACGTTTGCGTTAAAGTTTTGACACCAGATTTTACATTATCTGGTAAGAATTGGAACCAGTTTGGTGACGAACACTGGATACCTGCCCCCAGCTTTCAGCAGATTGAAACTGTTTGTCGAAGAAAATTTAATTTGAGGCATTGTACTTTGGACATAGTTTACATATAAATGAATAAAATCAGGTGGATTTTTCCCAAAATGTTGCGAAACACTTAATTTAATTGTGGGCAAAATGCATCAACTGACAGAGCAACTACTTGATCAGTAACACTACTATAGATGTGACCTTTGTCTGAAAGTTAAGAATTAGGAAGATACGAGCAAAACATGTAAAGGTAAATCAAAGAGCCTTGAATGCTTAGAATCGTTGTGTCTGTTTTCTACTTTTCAGAGGTTGCGCAACATTTTGATGAGAAAAATCTTAAGGTTTCTGACTGTGCTGAGGCCTTTTACTATCTGCCATTAGGTCGACTAATCAGATAAAAAGGTGGAAACAGTGTTACAGACTAGAACAATTAAACCGTATCGATCAAATGACCTTGGAGATTGTCTAGATTCATGATAGACTTTAAGGCACCTAAAGGATCATTATCAGTTAAGGGATAAAAATCAAACTGAAGTTAAAGACTGGGGAGCTCTCTGGCGTTGATCCAGTTTTAGAATATTATTTTTTTTTAAATAATATAAAAAACTAGGAATTGAACTTACACAACATGAGCGAGGTTGAGAGGTTTCTCTGGCATATCGGGGAACATGGGGTGCAGGGGCTCTCTGCTGGAGGCACAGCTCAGTGACTTACTGAGGACATGGGTTAACTTCTTAGCTGGGGATTTCTAGTAGAAAAACAGGTATCTTTTCAAAAAAACATGACATGAGCAGGGTGATATTGTCAAAAGAAGTGAAGCAGAACAAAAATAGCCTCACTGAATGGTTCAATGCAGACACACCTTCCTTAGCTAGCTCCTTCCCCTCCTCCCCTTTCCTTTCCTTACCCATGACGTATACTCCTTCATTTGGTGCTGGTTGCTATGGGAACCGCTGGCATGCCCCCTCCAGAAGCAGTCCTGACAGAGCTGGTAATTATGACATTGCTGGCAGCGGTAGCGGAAGCCCATCATACTCTCAGTATGGCAGTAGGAGCACTCGACCGGGTGAAACACTGCAGGGAGGAGAGGAGGAGCCAGACGCATGCACACACACGCACACAACCATGACAAAACACACAGACACACGCACACACAAAAATACAAAAAAAGATGAGACAATAATTGTGATATTTTGCACACCGCACAGAAAATAGGATTAATTTTTATTAATTTCAACAGAGATGCATGAAGACGCCGAGCGAGCTTTGTTGAATCCGCTCGGTTTAAGCAATTACACACATGGCACGGTGTGCATATGTGTGTGCCCATGACAAAGTGTCTCTACTGTTCACACGGAGGTTGCTTGTGATGATGACTCCATCGCAGATAAACACAAACATTCTTACTCATACAGTGCATGTAATGTCCCTGCAGTGTGTGCTTCACGGCGTGTTTGCTTGACTAATCATGCGACTGTGATGCAAAGCCGAACTTTAAATCTTCCTCAGGCCTGAGAGCTTCCCAGCTACATTGCCGGAACGTTTCTTACCGTTCTCAACGTTGGCAAGCCGATGCATGAGAGGTAGCCACACCAAACACTGAGGGGGCGGGTCTGACATCAGCGTATCAAGGAATGTGTTGAGGGAGACCTTTTTCTGTTGACGTTCAGTGCAAAGGAGAGCAAAGGAATTATCTACAGCGTGTCAATGCTGACACAGCGCCTCGCAGGAGTATTCAGAAGTAGTGAACTTTCAAATTTCAAACATTGCAACTAAATGTCTTCCTGCAGGGGTTTTAATGTGACAGACCAACATAGATTAGACCATAATTATGAAGTTCAACAAAAAGGATAAATGTCTATTTTTTATTCTCTTTTCCTATTAGAACTCTGACAGAGTTGTGTGCATTAGAATACATCCCTTTTTACTTTGATAGCACAAAATGAAATATAACACAAAACGCTAAACTGACAGGAGAACTATAATCAGAGAAGCAAACAAGAGGCCCATGTCTGATTACAAATGCATGCACCAAACTCCAGACAGTTCCTGTGTAAAAGTATTTGAAAGGCACATGTCAATTTCCTTCTTCTGATAAATTCTCCTCTAATCTGTTGGTTACATAAAATCGCAAATACACTGACAAAATGTGAAAACATTCAGTGGGTATGAATATGTTTGCAAGAAACAGTACATTAAGTGGTGAACGAACCCTTACCTGCTGAGTGAAGCATGCTCGTGCAGCTTGCTCAGTGTAGCCAAAAGAAGGTCCCTCAAACACGGCCATGGGCAATTTGAGAACCTCTCGCAGAAATTGGTCAAACTGCGAGTGCACCATTATTCCAGCAGAATCCGATATCTGCGAAAATATATCTGGAAACAATGAGGGGGAAACAGAATATTAATTAATTCAACTAATTGTCAGTTGCCGCTGCAGTTGGCTAATTACAGAATCATACAATACAATTATCCCACTTGGGTCTGTAAACAAATCAAAGTAAAGCAGTTATAATGATACACCCACCCCTCTCATTTTCTCTTACAAGCTGCAACTCCCACAGATTTTGTGCATTATGTAATAAAGCCTAAGACATGACAAAATGAATAATGACTTCTGTTGAACACACGGAGAAGGAAAGTAAGGCAAAAACTGCACACTAAACAGACAGAGATGTGGAAAGTGCAACTAGAAAAAAACAAAATAAACAAACTTGTGTTAATAATTCTAAAACAGCACATTACTGACACCATGAACTATTTATAAATTCATTATGTTAATTTATTACTGGAAAAATGGATGATTATAATATCATTTTTCACAATTACAAGTACTATGATTTTCTTACATCTTAATTTATCCAGAATTTTCCCTCCGCAGATCGAGGCAAGCGCCATCTTCACAACAAAGACAGATATCTTGCCATGGCCTTCCCTAAAATAAACATAAAATACAAAAATTGAATCATAATAATTTCGTCATATGAAGTGACAAAACAGAGTGAAATTTGGAGAACAGTTTCTGATGCACTTCCTTTGCTGAAGGAATTTGAAATTGTACTTTGACAGCTGGACTGTCACGTGACTTTTTACTCACGGGTCGTAGGCGGCCAGCAGGAAGTTGAGTAGCAGGCCGACGGACTGCTCCACATTGATCTGGTGAGTGGTTGGCATTCGCTTGTTAAGTTGGAAGAACAAGGTGGAAAGTACCACTTCCAGACGAGCCACAGCCAGCTCACAATTGAGATCCATGGTGTTCAGACCATTTTCTCGGAAAGCCTCAATGACGTTCCAAATATCAACCAAATGCACTGGAAACAGAACCGTGAGGAAAGAGCCGTATTTGTTGGCAGCTAGCATGGGATAAGGTTAAATGTTAAATGTGTTCTACGTCAGACTCACGGTTGCATTTCTTCTGCACAAATCGGAGTTTGCAGGCTGTTCTGTATGTTGATAATCGTATTGAGTCCAAATCCTGTGCCCCTGAAAAGGAGATGGTTTTATTTTTACAATGAAATTATAACTGAACTCATAATTCAGTGAGTTGAAGCTTCTCTGTGTGTAAATCATAGTCAGACCTAAAGCTGCTTAGCAAACAGTTCAATTAATTGAACTGTTGCATTAGACAAAGATAAAAAAAAAAATCCTTTCAAGCTCACTTCAATTAAAGTCCTGCAAGCTGCTATTCTGCTTTTTTCTGCACCACATTAACTAAACATGCAGTTGAAAACTGAAATCCAATAGATGTGAGCAATATCAAGCATCAGGTCATAAACTTCCTCTCCTCACTTACAAACCCAGGTGGGATCTGTACATGTAGTTTAAGACAAGAAGGAGGAGTAAATTCTGGTTTGCATGGCATGCCTTTAGCTTTAGGTATATGTTAGCATATCTAACCTAATATGTAATAATTTCCTAAAACTTTTTTAAGTTGTAGTATGTGTATTTAATAAAATTGTTGTCATGTAGTTTGACAATTAGAAGAAGGAACAACCTGTGGTTTGTACACATTTAGCATGTTTTGTAAATTTGCTCCCAGTTTTTACTTTGGAATAGATAAACTAGTAATTTCATGTTCTGAGGAATATTAATGTGCAAAACATAAAATAATTAATATGTGTGTTATTGGGCTCATCTTACAAACAATTTTTCAAACAATGCAATAGCTTTTGTAAGGACCACTATTATAATGTAGACATGCTTGGCATCTTGTTAGCGTAGAAACGAGCTTTCAATGCCTCTATTGAGTGAAATGACCTGATTAGGTTGTACCAGAGCCCCAGTACACTGAAATGATGAGCAAGTATAATTAATGGATGCATGCGATGCTACAATGACCCTTTAAAAAATGTCAAAAACACATACCCTACAATAACGAGCTATTTCACTCGGTACACACCATAATTATCTACATTACAATTTCAGAATTGGATCAAGACTGGTTGACATCAGCAAAAACTTTTGATCCTCATGATATTTGCCTTATTCAAAACATACAAAGAAAAAAAAATTGCAGTTTTTACGGTCAGAGCATAAAATAGTCCACCATCCATCACAATGAACTGTGGCCCTGAGCACTTACTCATCTCGACATACAGCTGCCTTCTGTCTGCCATGTTGTCACCCCTCCGCCCGCAATCTTCAATCATTCTGCTCAAAGGAAGAGAAAGTAATGCCAGAGTCATTACACTTTCAGCTTTACAGCATATGACTAAACAGTTGAACACTGAACAACCGTGATAATTTATTCACCATGGCACCTGTCTATGGGCGGGATATATTAGGCAACAAGTGAATATTGTGTCCTCAAGGCTGACGTGTTAAAGGGTCTAAATGTGGGCAAGCATAAGGACTTAAAAAGGAGCAAGCATGGGCTAAATTGTGATAGCAGGCTGACCGAGTCATTGCGTCTTCAAAATTGCTACTTTTGTGAGGCGTTCAGAGCGTGCAGTGAACATTATTAGCTACAACTGATCAAAGGAAGAAACGGTCGTGAAAGGACAACAGACAACAGGGTCACGGCGGTCAATGCTCATTCGCGGCCTAAGGGAGTGAAGGCCTGAACATGTGATCTGATCAAACAGATTAACCCATGTAAATCAAACTGCTCAAATAGTTAATGATGCTTTAGAAAGGTAGGTGTCAGAATACACAGTGATCTGCAGTTTGTTGCATACGCGGGACTGCACACTAGTCAGGGTGCCCATGTTGGTCAAAATGTTATTCCTGCTTGAGTGACTGAGGGATATTGTTGACTGAGAGATATTGTTATTCACAACAGCAGATTCAATACTTACTCACCAAATAATAAATAAGATGGTGGCAATTCACTGTCCAAAATGTCAAGTGGAGATACAGAACATTAAGCTTCTTTAATTTTAGACAAAGAAAAGTAGCGTTTTACTCTTAACCGTCTACTGGTAGATTTCGATACAGATTCACAAGGTATTTTGAGACCTTTCTATTATAACCAGCATTAGGTTGAGCTACAGTAGCTCATTTATTGGACAGTGCCACATGGCCAAGCCTTCAATCCCCACATGCATCAGTGAACTTTAGCCACCACCAAGACTGTCTGTTCGCCATTGTCTACTGACACTGCAGACTGGGGATTCTGCACTGTAGTTGCGTTTGTGAAGATACTCCGACCTAGTATTCATGCCAATACAACCTGACCTTTGTTAAATGGTTTCAAATTCTTACCTTTCCTTAATTTCTTCTTATTCTAACACATAAACTTCAAGAACAAAATATTCGCTTGCTGTCTAAAATGTACAACTTAACAGTTGCCATGAGAGGTCAGGTCATTGATATTTTGCTCATTAAGCTGTGCTTGATTAATGTTCTATCACAGAGTCGAATCAACTGAACTAAAAATCAGCACAGTAAGCAAATCTCCAAGATCTTCTGATATATACAGAAGATCCATATCTGGCAAGTTGCATATAACATCAATCCCAGACCTTTAGGAGTTTAGTTTAGTCTTTGACTCAACAGCAAGCTGGAGTGCCAACTCCTTATTGACTTGACAAGCATTAAAGCAATATAAAACTTTTTCAAGGGTATATACTGACAGATACATTATGTTTTTATTTTTCCTAAAGGCTCCACAGTCACTCTGTCTAATGCCTCCCTGAGCTTCTGCCCATATAGCTAATATCAAAAGCCACCAGGTAAAAGCCCAGAAAACACCATTTTCTAAAAGCTTTTTTTTTTTTTTTTTTTTTTTTTTACACAATTAAACTACACAAATGCTCTTGACGCATTGACTTTTTAGTTTTGCCAGGAGTTGTGGCATACATGGCAGGATAAAGTTGTTCCATTTCAAAGGGGCTGAAATAGTTCGACAGCTCCATCTGCTCCACAGTCCTACAGTAAGTAAACAGATCTTACAATCTGACCCTCACAAGCATTTTAAGGAAATCTGCTCCTGAAATAAGTCTCACAACAATGCCTATCAGAAATGATTAAAAGTTAGACAGGAACATGACTTTGAAACGGAGCAGAGCTGCAGAGAGAGTGCTCCCACCAAGGCTCATTGCACACTGTCCGAGGCAATCTAATACACCTAGTCATGTGGTTTGTTGCCATGGCAGCAAAGATCCCAGTTGCTCTGTACATAAACACACACGCATAACACCTCCCACAGCACACCAAAAAAAAAAAAAAAAAAAGTTTTGTTAAAAAAAGTTTTTAAACGTCTTTTGAATAAAATCGTTAGGCAAGCTGAGAGCACAGTTGCTCTAGTAAGTTGAAGAAACACTTTTTTTTCTGCAAGACAATCTGTCAGCTTTGCTGCTTTAAATTACTTTAACAGACTCGGGTAAGCTTAAATATTGTACTGTGAAGACTCACAGAAATCAGAAAATGGTTTCACCCATTAATAACGTTCAGTAAAAATAGCATTACTTCAAGGTGACGTGGTATTGAAGCAAAAGATTTAATCATGATCCAATGGCAATATGCAGACAATGGCAATACTGTTTTCAAAAATATTACAAGCTTTTAATACAATGACAGGATCGAATAAATAAAAAACATTCATTATGTAGTTTTAAGCTGCTTAATGTACAGAATACTACAACCTTTGATAATGTTGCCATTTATACATTACCAGGGGGGAGTATGGCAAACTATTGATGTGTTAGTTAGTCAAGCTATCTGTTAACGTAGCTAGTTCACTGTCGGCCACTTAAGAACTTTAAAATAGCAAAGATTTTTAAACACTTAAGAGATTCCCCACCTTTTTTTCAAGGAAGGAAAAACCTGAAGAGTTTTCTTTTATCCAACAGACCAGCAGTTTATAGGGGAGGACTGTGTTATTATACATATACCAAGCCTAAAGTGGCAGAGTGTAATGTATAATACAGTTACTCCAAGACGAACATTATCAGCCCTTGACACCACAGGAGGGTATGTCAGAAAACCATTAGCTAACTTGGAACAAATCATATGTTCATATCAAATACTCTAATTTAGCAAGGGCATTGTTTGGAGACATTACTCTTCCTTCTCCTATAAGGGGTGAGTGTAGTAAGCATTTTCTCAGGCTACCGACCAGCATTGAGCAGCAACAGGTGGAGAATGAGCCATTTATTCTTAAGTTATGCTTGATAAAGCGAGAAACTCTGGTTACTTCAGTGCTGTATTAACCAGTGAACTGCACTGTACCAGTGAACTGTATTGAAAGGACTTTAAACAGCAGGAATGGTAAAATTGTTTTTTGTTTTCTTTTTTTCTTTGGATAAAATGGAGTTCTACGCAGGACTAAGTAGTTTAGACACATTTCTAAAAGTGTACTTCATAGCCCTGGTAAAATGGCATGTTTCTGTGATGTAAGCTAAATTATTTTGACACTTTCTACTGTCTGTAATGTGACATTTATCTTGCACAATCTTACAGATGAACATTAATATCCTTTCCCCCCCATCATATATTGAGCGCCAGTTATGGGACCTTCTGTCATTTGCTTTCAGCCTTGGAAATATCTGAGATAGATACAATCTATTGGTAGAGACGATATAAAAACCAGCACAGAAAATACAATTTGTTTATCAGTGAGAGGGAAGATAGCCAGCATAGCTTTCACAAGCCACTGTGGCCATTTTTCTTTATCTTTCCAAAGTGAGATTATTACAAAGCCAAGTCTTCCTCCTTCCAACAGTTGTCCATAATATGAGCAAGTGGCACAACAAAACCTTGACCATGTGAATGGGCCTAGCTGAAGATATCTGAATTTAGAAGCTGTAAGCATACAGCATGTGCCGTCTCTATCTTTAAATACAAATGAGAAGACCTCGCATTCTTGAACAGCTTTTCTGGCTCTCTAGTTGCACAGCCCAATCCTCATTCCTGGCATCTGCCCAGCAAACATTACTCTTTCGCTGTGGCACTGTCACTCTGTCACTATTTGAAAATAAGTGCCTTTAAAAATGAGTTGTCTCATGCCATTATGAAAGCAGGGATGGGCATATAGGGTTGCACTGCCAGGCAGTCTCAGGGGAATGACCTGTGCTATTTTTTAATGGTACACAGTATTTGTGATGGGCAAATGTCAAGGCAACAACAAAAATAAAGACTTTTTTTTTTAATGTTTTTATGTTTTAATCTGTCTCTGCTGCCATTTAGTAAATCACTGCAGACAGGACCAATGAGTTGTGTCCTCTTTGGTGAACTTTGGAACCTCCAGCAATGGAGCATTTTTAAAAGACATTTATCATTGTATTTTGGTAAAAAATAAAATAAAAAAATAATAAAATAAACATCCTAAAAATAAGTTCTGAAACATAAATAAATTGCAACAGGCATTTCCATTGGCTTTCAAAGCAGATGACTAACCGAAATAGCAAAAAGATTCCTTTGAATAATGCGGTGTGGAACAGAAAACCCCACCATATATGGATCACACAGATTGGTGGCATAAGTCAAATGCATTTGTGACAGCTTAAAGGTTAACAATGATGCCACTGTGGCATCACTGTAACAGTGGCATCATTGTGGCAATGATGCCACTGTCACAGTGGCATCAGCATTTTGATATCTGTGCATCAAAATGCTGAGCATTTTTGATGCACAGATATTTTATGCAGGAAACATGGGTGAGCTGCATGGAAGTGTATAAGTATGGATCATAAACAATCATTGTTGAAACCACATTTTGAAACCACACTTCCATAGTTAAGCAACCAGAATCTCAGTACGTAGCTTTGGGACACGGACAGAGATGAATCTCTGATTACACAATGCCAGGAAAGATAGTAGAAGCAGGGAGTAAACAGCCAAATCACAAGGTGCCTGCAAAAGCACTGATGCCTTTAAGATTGTTGGTTAAGAGCATACATTTTATTGGTAAAGAAAAACTTTCTTTTACAGATAATTACTTGTAGCAGCATTTTTCTTCTCTCTGTGTATGTGAGCCAAATAAAAGAGAAATCACCTGACTGTAGATGCCTATTGAATATTTAAGCTTCCATTTAAACCAGCATTAACCTGAAGTTACATTTTAGTGCCCAGCAACATCTTGATCTGTGGAAACTAACTGCGGTGTGAGTTATGGTGATTTAATTAGGACGCTGCAGTTAAATGCTCATGAATAAAGCATAGACTGGTTATGTGGAGAAAGGTGAGAAATGCACAACCATTGCATGGCTAGATGAGACAAAAAAAAAAAAAACTATGGAGACATACAACTCCAGCATAAATTCCAATGTCTACCTTAATGTTGCTCTAATTTTAGCATTTGAATTAAAATTTTTGTCACTAGAGACCAATACTAAGACTGTCTGGGCTCACCACAAAACGCTTATAAATCTCTCTGTAAGATACCGGTTTGATAAGTCCCCAAAACACTGCACTTAGACAACATTTCTAAAGTCGTCATCATCCTCACTGGATACATTTGAGCATAGATCATCAGTATAGGAACTAAAATTTTAATTGAAGATCATCATTCTTTTGCCACTTTTAGCTACAGTCACAACTAAAGTGTCCTCACTTCTTTCCTTTAGTTTTTTTTTTAAACATATTTCTTGATTTTAGACAAGGAAATCAATACAAGCATTGTGAACTACAATTCTGGGCCAACTTGTAAAAAAAATATGATGCAAGGCCTTTGAACACAAACACTAAAGTTACAATCCAGTCTGTCGGTCTCCAGACACTATGGCAGCTGTTACCACTGAGTGAGCAGAGTTATTTTTACATCACGAGACTGTAAACTATTCCAGCATCCAAATCCTACCCCCCTGACAGGAATAAAAAAGCTGCAATGGGGACTTAAGGTTAATTAGCTCTTGTGCTCTGGTGCTGTAGAAAAAGGCTGTTTAGCTGAAGATACAAGCTTTCTCTGCAGGCTGCGTACCAGGCAGTGATGGAGCCTTGATGGAGGTGTCGTCTCCCCATAATCACCATGGTTTCAGTTGCAAAAGGGCAAAAACTTTAGGACTCAGAGGGCAGATACAAATTTATGGCTGCTGAGGCTGTAATTCAGTTCACGAGAGTTTTTTGCTTGAATAAAAAGCAGAATGGTTAAACATGTGTATTCTTGCCCAGCTATGTGATATGATACATATTAATTTGCATTTCAATCACAAGCTTCAAAGGAGAGTCACTCCTGTGAATAGACTGAGGCATGTTGTGTTTCGCTTTGTAAAATTACGACTAAAATCCATTACAAACAATACATGCAACATGTACCTGGACAGGGGGAATGGCAACAGGCACCTTACAGAACATGCTCTACTCAAGCATCACCTGTCCCTGCTTTAGAGTAATCTGTGTGGTCTTGATGCTGACAGAAAAATGAACAAGTAAATAAAAATCTCACCTCTTTTGATCCGGTCAATCTCGTTTTTACTGCTCAAACTTGACAAACTAATTTCACCAAGAGTAACAAAGTAGGTTAAGGTCTCTTCTCTGTTTTGCAGCCTGCCTCCACCAGGAGAAGCAGCTGCAGCAGCGCACTTTGCACACAGACTTACCAGAATTTATTTCGAGGCATGTCCTGCACCGTGACTGCCGTCCACCCGGGGAATCCGTCGCGCCCTGCGGAGTAATCACGACTTCTTTGGCGTGGGGTGCTGCATCACGGCGCAAAGTAGCCGTTGTTATCGCGCCGCTCTCCTGCAACGCTTGTGTTGTTGTGGAAATTTTCGTGCAGCAGCGCTCTGGCTGAGCTGAGCAGAACAAGGCAGCCTCCGGTATGACGTAATGCGGAATCTCTTCACATGCGCCAGTGTGGCGGCACAGGGGTTAAAGACTGATGCAAACACAGAAAATAAAATAAAATAAAAATAATAATAATCTAAAAAAAAAAAAAAAAAAAGAAAACAAAAAAAAAAAACTGGCGACACAAGAGAAGAATTACACCATCGAACTGGATAGTTATACGAGTCCAAATGAAATGAGTTTACAGATTAAGCTTTTTGTCTTCAGTAGATGACGTAATTTAGACAAGTAGAACTGGGATATTGATTGAAGTCAATTAAGGGAAGTGTGAATATAAATGCAATTACAAAATGTTTTCTACTGAAAATATCCATGTTAAAATTAATAAACATTTAATTTCTCGCAAACAATGTGAACATTAAGGTTTTCTATTTAAATTCTATTTAAATTAAGCATTTTCCCATTGGGGATCAATAAAGTATATTATATTCTATTTCAGTTGTTCTGACACATTGTTTTTTGACCTACAAAACAAGACTGAAATTTAGAAGTGAAAAAAAAATGCAGTCCTACCTCTTAAACTTTTTTACATTTTTTGAAACGACAGACAAATATTTTATTGGAATTAATTGTGTCCGATCACCACAACAGTGGGACGAGTATGATGGTGAAGCAAAACAGATACATGTTTTAGGATGGTTGGATTTTGCTCCATCCATACATCTAACTTTCCTCCCTGTCCCTACTAGAACAACATATCACCTCAGCATGATGCTGCTACCGTTTATTTCAAAAGTTGGAATGGGGGTGGGGGACGTTGTCATTGGGGGTTGATGGATGAGGGAATTGGGGGCTTGGAGAGACTATAGACTTGCTAATAAAGGAAACCATAAAAATAAAAAAATAAAGTCTTAGGTAACAAACTAACTAACTAACTAACTAACTAACTAACTAACTAACTAACTAACTAACTAACTAGAATTTTTAAAAAAAAACATGTTCTCTCATATCTTACATAATACTATTAAATAACAGTACAGCTAGAAGTGTGGTTGGGGGAGGGGGAAAAAGGGTGAGGGGATATTGTACCAAGCAAATTTGTGTAGGGGTGGCCATTACACCCCCTCACCCTTCTCCCCATCCTCCGACCCGCCTTTGGTGGCGTCACTCATTTTTGTATACAACCCCATTGTGAAGGGCCTAAAGAGCCACATGGGGGCTCTGGAGCCACAGGTTGTAGAGTCTACAATTCCTGCCATAAAGATACATGTGAAATGCATCAAAAACTGATATGCAATTAGGATCTTTAGTCAAGTTTCCATGTTATATTTCTATTTTAAAAACACACCTGCATTTATTGTTTTATTGTCTCCTTTTTCTGCGCATATTTTACCTTGTCAGCTATTAATATTCACAAAATACTCCTGTTCATCTCTTTGTAAAATACACCTGTGACGTTTCTCAACGGCTCTTGAACGCAACTTATCCCCAAACGAGCACATGCCCCGCCGTTGTTACTGGCAAACCGCTCAGAAGATTGACAGCAACTTGATTCATTCGGAGCAAACCTTGTTGCATGGAAACACGAAGCATTTCTAAACTTTTAAGCATATAGGTGAGCGACAATAACACAACAGGCAGAGGTGGCAGCCAAAAGTTTGAGTAAGTTGATAGCTAGCATTTTTCGCTTTCGCTTTCTCCCATGACAACGACCCCCCTCAGCTCATTAATTTCTCATTAGCTTGGTTAATTAAACGTCAAGTTAACGTTAGCTGACAGAGCGACATCCGGAGATGAGTGAAGGTATGTTTACCTCCCGTTTACCAACTTTGTTATAAACTGTAACCATGGGAGTTTAAACCCCTATGATTTATTGCGAAAGAAGATCAGTTTCGATGTATTTTAAGTTTTTTAAACTCCAATTACGCTAGTTTTGACGATAGAAATGCCTTTGCTTTCCCTCAGGACCCTTAAGGACGTCTCGATAGTTCGTTATTGTACAGCAAATATCCCACTTGGAAGAGTTGCGACATGCCAAAAGTTAAACCCCTCGCATTACCATCCAGGGAAGGACGAGCTAGTCAACAAGGTAATCAGGGATGTTGGCGCCTAGTAGGATAGAATAGAAATACTTTATTGTCCCACAGTGGGGTCATTCAGGTGTCACAGCAGCAAGTTTAGGTAAGTGGGTAAATGCCTATTCAGAGACGAAACATAAAAATAAGAATAAACGTGTACAGTAAGGGCAAAATTTAAATGTGAGAAAAATATACTGTGCAGTCAAAGAATATGCAGATAATCATTTGGAGAGAAAAATGCACAGAATGTGCATGTAATGGAAGTCCATAACAACAACAACAACAAATAAGCAAAACAAGCAAGAAAGAATGACACATGTACTGATTAAACCTAGGCTTAATTATTTTACACTGAGGATAAAACAATGATTTGTGGAACACATTTTTGAAAACAAAAAAAAAATCTAAATTATACTTGATAAAGTTAAATAGTCTCATTTTGTTTTGGTGAGTCCAACACTGTTTTGTACATTTGGATCTGGCCAGGATGACATTTATCACAGAACTACCACTGAGAAACGGGCATTAAGTTATTTATTTAGTTAATCTTTGGTTAAAAATATTTACTTGCAGTAGCATAATCTGACGATTATTTCTTTCATTTAGCTTTTTGCTTGAATACTTTCAATATATTTAGAACATTGACAGGATGAAGATTATTGTTGTAATTAAAATATAGTTTTAAGAAATGCTCTTCATTTCTCCTCTATAGGTGTGATCTTGTGTCAACCAATAGCCTGTTAATTTCTTCACTGAATAAATCGTGTCAAAATAAAAGTTTATTTGTGTAGCGGAATTGTTGCTGCATAAAAGATTAATTAATTCAAGCCTTTTAGCACGTCTTTGTTATGGGTGCTTATAAGTGTGGTTGACTTTGTATTTCATTACACTACCCACCATAACTGTGGGCATAATCAGACACGAATAATAATTAGATTTAACCATATCTATTTAGTGTGGGAAAACAACCAAACGGAGAAATAATCTGATTTGACTATTATAGCTATTCATAATTACTCCATAGTGTAACTGAAACACCTTTGTTATTTATACTTTACATTTTTAAGCTGATCAAAATGTCTAAGAAACTTTGGTCAATAATTGATGTTTTCCTTTCCTGTTAATTTAAATTTATTCCAACACTCACTTTTCAAAATAGGAAAGACAAGAAAAAAAAATGCTTGTCAAATGAGGTAGCTGTGTGCTAATCTTTGTAAGTCTGGACATGACTGCAAGAAACTTTCTATTGGCCTTGTTTGTCACTAGAACTGAACAAGTGTGGGCGGTGACCCCAACGTGGCACTGTGTATATTGAGTCAGGATTTGACTATTAAAAACAATCTCCAAAGTGTCGTGTTAGATAACGGCATCAAAGACAGACTTCATGGAGGGCCGTGTCTCCATTTCAACATTTTTGAAAAAAGTTTTTTATACATGGGTACCAATAACTGTGCAAATATCTGTTAATTGCAGTTACCTGCAGTATCCATAAATAGAAGGTAACACAATATTTAGATAGTTGTTTCTTTTAAATGAACTATTATTTTTTTGTCCATTTGCAGCTTAAGGAGGTCTAAATAAACCTCCTTAAACTTGTTAGGGTCCCTGTGTGGTGCTGTTGGCTGTGGACAAAGATATTTTAAACGTATAACTAAATATATTACTGTAGTTTACCTCGTTTCAGTTTGGCTATCAGACTTAGAAGGAGTTTCTTTTTGTGTGCATTATAACCCTGCCAGCATGATTTAGAGCAAACCTTGCCACATTCCTGCTCCACTTGGTTATTTCAGTGTTTATTTTTCACAAAAGCTATCCAGCAGGAAATGAGCTTTATTCTTGGTTTCCCTTTAACTCGTGCTACACTGTGTTTTGTCAGAAGCTACTCACAAATTAAACACTTGGTCAGTTAAATGATCGTCCTTGCTAAAAAGCTGTCAAGTATGAAATGTTGCTGATCTTACCTCCCCCCCCCCCAAACACTATGAGCCCAGACACTTCTTGTGAGGTATCCTGTTGGCATGACAATGAACCTGTTTTTCTCCCTCATGCAACAATTACATCCCTATTAAACAATTACAAAATTTGAAATAAAATTTGACATACTCATGGTCATGGATCCACTCCACCTGAGCTTGAGGTATTTAAGCAAAGACGAATCTGTAAATGCATTCAGTCTGTGATTTAAAGTATTGTTTGAAGTGGCACCAAGTTCAACACTTTAAATTTGAAAACCATTTTGTATTTTTCTTTCCACTTGACAGTTATGCATTACTCTGTGTAGGTCTGATCCATAAACTTCCAATAAAATACATTAAGGTTTGAAGGTGCCATATGGTCGCATGTGGAACGATTTGTATTATAAGTACTTTTGGAAGGCACTAGAATTTAAGTTTCTATAGAATTCAATGCTGCTGAAAAGTTTGTATTATTATGGAAATAATATGTAAACAATATTTTAAATACAGTGTTGTGTCCACTTTCACCTAACAGTCATAAATGTAACTTCGCAGATGCAATTAGACTTTTCTTGTAATTAACTTCCCAGAGAATCTGTA